TAAGACAAGGACACTCATTCTCAGCACTGCTAGTCAATACAGCATTAGATATTCTAGGCAGGACAATTAGGCAGAAAAGGAAATAAAAGGCATACAGATGAAAGGGAAGAAATAAAACTGTCCCTGTTTGCAGATAACATGATGCTCTATGTAGGAAATCCCAAGAAATCCTAAAGGAAACTAAAATTAAAAAGAACCCTCCTATATCTAATTTGTGAGTTAGTAGTATTGCAGGATATAAGATCAACATACACACACACATACACATTAAAAAATAACAATATCCCTGGCTGGTGTGGCTCAGTGGATTGAGTAATGGCCTGATAACTGAAGGGTCGCTGGTTTGGTTCCCAGTCAGGGCACGTGCCTGGATTGCGGACCAGGCCCCTAGTAGGGGGCACATGAGAGGCAACCACACAATGATGTTTCTCTCCCTGTCTTTCTCCCTCCCTTCCCCTCTCGCTAAGAGAAAATAAATAAACATTAAAAAAAACTCAAAACTCAACTCAGAAAAAAGTCTAATTAGAAAAGGACTGAAGACATGCACAGATATTTTGTGGAAAAGAATATCCAAGATGGCCAGTAAGTACATGAAAAGATTTTCAATATCACTAGCCACTAGGGAAATGCAATTTAAGATCATTCTGGGGTATCACCACGTACCCTATTAAAACAATTCAAGCAAAATGTAGAGGAGATTTATAGGTAGAGGATCTGGATTGGTCATACATTGTTGGCGAGCATGTGAAATGATACAGCCACTCGGGAAGACAGTTGGGCAGTTTCCTGAAAAACTGAACATATGCTTACCATACAACCCAGCAATTACAGTCTTGATCATTTATCCCAGAGAAATGAAAACTCATGCTCAGATTGAAGCGTGTACATGGATATTCACACCAGCTTTATTTATAATTTCCCAACCCTGGAATCAGCCCAGATGTCCTTCAGTGAACATTGTTTAGAATTACTTCATAGTGCTAAAAAAAGCAAAGACCAACTTCAGTTGGTTCTATTATTATTTTTGTAATTCTCCACACACAATGAACCCCCTTATTGTCTTCACCCAGGATGGACTGCTCCCACTGTCCTGTCCCTTGGTGCACTACTGCTTGGGTCACAGTAGTACCACTGACACTGCTGTCCTTCCAATAAAGCATGGGCCAGGATCCGGCCCCCCCCCAGCAAAACTGACTTTAGAAATAGCAAATAGAGGCTATGTCTGAAACCAGTCTTCATACCTCTGTTGCCCTTCCCTAAGTAGGAGTCTTGGCCCTCCTGCTCCTTAGTCAGGGTCTCTAGTCCTTGCTATTTCTTGCCACATGGACAGTTGAAAAAGGCTGCAAAGCACCTTGGGTAAAGCCTGGTTTGGTGACAGCCACACTCCCCAGGAAGAAGGAATACCACTAGTACTTTGAGAAAGGCTTTGTGCCTTTGATTTTCCATTTCCAGGTAGCAATTGACTGTGACCCCACCAGTTAAAATGCCTTTGGTTGATTTTTGACTTAATCTGGGATTGCAGTGTCTCCTGCCTAACATCAGAGGGTTCTGTAGGCAGAATTAGACATGGAAGGAGGATTCTATTAAAGGCCTTCATCCATGCAGGGAAAGATATACTATGCTGATTTCTATGAAGTGCCAGTGGGAGAGGCTTCTCACCCCTGATTTCATTTAGTAGTACTATTTGGTGACATCTTAATTGAATTCATTACAAATTCCAAAGGCTTGGCCCAGATCTGTAAAATGTCATTATTTATATTGACATTATGAGGGGGTTTATGCTAACTATTATAATCTTAGTAACTGGCAATATACCTTGCCACTCATGCTAGTGTAGGTACATATACATGACATCTGTCCAGAAGGTATGCAGCCATGTAATATGAAAAATAGGGACATTTATTGAAGAAGACACAAGAAACACTGTTCATAGGACAATAATGCCTCAGTCCCCTTCAAGGTAGGTACCTTGGGACCTCATACAGCTCCCCCAGTCGCTATCAGTTGCCCCATTGTATTTTCCTGAATCTCATCGATGGTCTTAAATCTCTTTCCTTTCAAAGGTGATTTTAGTTTTGGAAAAAGCCAGAAGTTGCAGGGTGCCAAATCTGGGCTATAGGGGGGTGAATCACCTGGGTGATTGGATGTTTCACCAAAAAACTGCACGAGACATGATGCATGAGTGGGCATATTGTCATGATGAAGTTGCCAATCACCAGTTGCCCATTGCTGCAGCCTTCTGAATCATTAGAATAGTTTCTGTGGAGGAATGTTCAGTCTTATCACAAAATTTGATGCAGATTCATTGCTCTACTCACTCAGTCATATTGAATGCGATGGCCACACAGTACATATGCTCACTCAACAGTGTCTACTGCCCCCACTGACTAGTACAGTGAAGTGGTCATTGTTCATGCATGCGCATTCCAGTCCACTCCTAAGCTGTCAGGTTACATTGATGTTGCACAAACCATTCTTGTCATATTAACAATGGTTGAACTTTTTCCGGACAAATTTTGTACATGTGCACATGTGTGCGCGCGCAGACACACACCCTACTCACTGTAGGCTCTTTATAAAAAAGTTCAAACCACTGTGGTAAAGGAGATAACCATAACAGAAGAGCTAGGCAGAGTGGGGAGGGAAGGTTACTATCATGTGTCAACCACCCACCATGTGCCGTGCCATATACTCTGCTTGGGGACATTATGTGTCTTGGATAATTTTAACCCTCACCACATAACCTGTAAAGTAGGTACTATTCCTATTCCTGTTACTGATGAGGAAGTGAAATGAGATAATCAGATTATGTCATTCTGCTGCTTAAAACTCAACCACATCATCCTTTCCTCAGGGGATAAAAGTCCTCACTCCTCATCCCAGTCTCCAGGCTGTGTTCTGGCAACTTCACTAGATTCATCTCAGACCCCTCCCCTCTTGCAGCCACACTGACCTTTGTTCAGTTCCTCTAATGCACCATATCCTTTTCTATTCTAGGGCCTTTGCTAAGGTTATTTTCTCTGCCTGCACTGCTCTCCTCTGTGTCTACCTGCATTTACCAACTACGTCCTACTCATTATCCATGTCTTAGCATAATGTCACATCCTCAGGTTCTCAGGAAAACTTCCACTGACTTCCCCCTTTACTCTATGATGTCTCTCAGACTATGGTAGATCCCTTTGTTGTGTCCTTCTGTTGCACTGTATATTTCACCCCTCCTACTCATCACATAGTTTCACATTTAATAGTGTATTCAGGATGTTTTACTCATTGGATGAATCTTCCTGTTTAGAGAGGATCCTGTTCTCTGCTCTATCCCTAGCACCTAGTACAGTGCTTGACCTGTGGTAGATGTCTCATAAATATTTGTTGAACTACTGTATATTTAAATTCTCTATAATCAGTACATTATAGGTACTCTATAAACATAGTTGTTATTATTATTGTCCAAGGGCAAATATGTAGTTAGGGGCAGAACCAGGATTTATATCCAGGTGTGAATCTAAAGCCCATGTTTCTTTCACAATATGGCTTTGCCTGGAGGTATGAGCTCTAGGCTCAACACTGCCACAACCTGGCCATATGACTTAGGGTGAGACACTGTATTGCTCTGAATCTCAGTTTTCTGTCCTATAATTTGGGGTAGGGGCAGGTGAACTTCAGGTTGATCTTCACCTAAGAAGGAGAATAGCAGTCTGTATAAGAGAGGGTATCAATAGTTAATTGATTGACTATTACAAAATTAGTGTCATCCCTCTGCAAGACATTTAAACAGGTACACCAAGAACCCTCAATATGTTCATGCCCTTCAGCCTGAGTAACCTCACTCAGGCAGTGTGGAGAAATGGGTAGTATTAGAGAGCTCTGGGATTAAGTCCCAATATCCCCTTTACTACCTCCGTGGTCTTGGGCAAGTTAATACCTGAACCTCATGTTCTTCTTTACAAATAGAATAAAAGCATTTATGTTTTAACCCTTTGCTAAGGTGAAAACAATATAGTAACATGAAAGGGAATTCTTTAATATAGAAATAAAAATTTCTCCCATGATCCTCTGCACACAGTTCTTTCTGTGATTGTGGTGCCACTGAGGGCTACCTCTTGAGGCAGGAGCCACAGGCACCATTGAGAAAGGAGAGAGAGACTGAAGACAGAAGTAGGCTGAGGTCAGGGACCAGCGTCTAGGGTGGGGACCATGGGCATGGGCTGGAATAAAGGAGAAAGCCAGCTACTGAGGCAGAAGAAAGGAGATGCCAAATCTGCTCATGGATAATGGATAGGCAGGACAGATAGAGAGCCAGTAGGAGGACAACAAGGTGCCCCAGAGGACCTCCTTCCAAAGTTCTGTGGACCTTTCAACTTAGGCATGCTTCAAATGATCTCAAAGATCTTTAAAACTGTACCCCTGCCAGTTCCTTTTCTTGTTTAGTCACATGCATGTATATTTTAAAATTGCAATCTTAGCATAAATACCTTTTTTATTGAGTAGTAGATCTTTAATATTTTTCAAGTCACAAGTTTTCATAATGATTCCTTTTCAAGGTTGCCACATATTCCAATTTTACCCATAGCCCAGAAGGCACATTCCTAGGTATTAACTTTTTTGCATCCTTGAATTACTTTCTTGGAATAAATTCCCAGGTGTGCAATTACTGAGTCAGTCAGAGGTTATGCAACTGGAACATAACAACCAGAACAGGTATCATTTTTCCAAGAAAAGAAATGAGCTACAGTCTTTTTTTTCTTCCTCTCCCGGAACTGATGAGTTGACCTTATCAAGGTGTGCTGTCCAATATGAGAGCCATTAACCACATGTAGCTGTTTAAAGTTTGATTCATTAAAATGAAATAAAATCTAAAATTTAGTTTCTCGGTTGCACTAGCCACATTGCAAGTGCTCAGTAACTACACATGTCTAGCCTTGGCTCAGAGCCTAACCCTGTATTCCATTCTCATTTCCCTCTCTTCTTCTGGTCCATATCCTCTTCTGGGGGAATTGCAGGAATAAGACCCTGCAGATGGAGAAGATCAAGGCCCGTTTGAAGGCTGAGTTTGAGGCCCTTGAATCAGAGGAGAGACACCTGAAGGAATACAAGCAGGAGATGGACCTCCTGCTACAAGAGAAGATGGCCCATGTGGAGGAGCTCCGACTGATCCATGCTGACATCAATGTGGTAGGTGTCTGGCTGCCTAAAGCCTACCTCTGAGCCCTTTCAGGAATAGGTAATAGTGAATGCTGTGGTATCTCCTCAAGCTGTGGCTGTGGCCAACTTGGGGGAGTACGCATCCAGCTGTAGTGGAGTGGAGAATCCAGGAGTTCTGAGATCCAGCCTGGTGCTGTCACTGACTGTACATCGCTGGACAAGTGCCTTCTTCTCCCTGGGCCTTATTCTCCCTCTCTGTATTATGAGAGGGGATCAATCACATCTAAGGTCTCTTTCAGCTCTGATGTGCTTATTAGTGGAGTCTGGGAGTTAGGAGCCAGCCTTGGTGAAAAGCGGAGCAAGTAGTTGACACTGGGGTCTAGCCTAAAGGGCTCCAAAGGTTCTGTAATTTAGCCGACACAAACCATATCTGCCGACCTGCGAAAGTGGGGCCCCTCTTTAGAGTCTCTCTTTTGGAGATTCTTGGAACATGGTGAATGAACTGCGCAAATGTGGTAAGTCCCTAACTTTTTGGAGTTAGTCACACAGAGTCTGAATGACCACCTATCTGGGCTGCATGCAGAATCGATGATTCCTTCACCAGGACAGATGTTGGAGGTGTTGACCTGTAAGGTCCTCTCCAACTCTTAGGGCCTATGACAATGAGAAGCCTTTTTTTTTTTTTCTAAAAAAAAAACAAAACTACATTTGAAGGCATTTCTATTCTTGGGAAACTCATTTCTCTGACAACACTTATTTCCTGATTTTTCTAGGCCTAGAATTTTCAAGGAAATATGGATGCGATTTGGACAGTAAGCATTTGGGATTTTCTGTGTCACAGATCACAGGGTTCCAGGGTCTCATGAGGAGTCGGCAGTTTTGCTGCCAGCAAACCCAAGTATACAGACCCAATGAAATGAACAGGGTGTTAGCCACAGAGGGGCTGAGAATCTAAGCGAGTACTCAAACTTGAATGTTCATCCGAGTCAGCTGGAGGGCCTGTTAAAACAGATTGTTCAATTGCACCCTCAAGTTTCTGATCCCGTAAGTCTAGGGTGGTGCCTGAGAATTTGCATTCCCAATGAGTGATGCTGATGCTGCTGATCTGGTGACCACATTCAGAGGACCATTAACTGAGGAGAAAGGCCACTGGCCTGGGAGGCAGAAGCCCTGAGTTTTGAATCTAGGCTTTGCCTCTAAGAAGTATTTTTCTGAGGAAGTTCCTTCTCTCTGAGCCAATTCCCTCATCTGTAAAATGGTGGTGAGGTACACTAAAATGCTGTATTTGAGTAATAACTACCATTTATTCAGTCTTTGCTCTGTTAGCCCCTATACCGAGAGCGTTATATAAATTCAGTCATTGAATCCTCACCAAGATTACATGAGGTAGGCACTATTTTTCTCACCATTATACAGATGAAGAAACTGAGGCTCGACAAGAGTCACACAGAACACAGAGCAGATTGAGGATTTGACCATACATTGGTCTGGCTCTGGAGCCTGTGCTATCATCTTGTACAGCCTCATTGAGAATCTTGGGGGATCTTCCTCTTTGCCTACGTCACTCTGTGTTCCAGATGGAAAATACCATCAAACAGTCTGAGAATGACTTAAACAAGCTGCTAGAGTCTACCCGCCGTCTACACGATGAGTATAAGCCACTGAAGGAACATGTGGACGCCCTGCGCATGACTCTGGGCCTGCAGAGGCTCCCTGACCTATGTGAAGAGGAGGAGAAGCTCTCCTTGGAGTAAGTAGCCTCCCCCCTGTCCTTGCAACACGCGGAAACCACACACATATACACCCCCACAGAGCTTGGTCTGAAAGTCAGTCCTGGCCCCAGGCCTGTCAGTGGCTGACTCATTGCATGGACCTTGGGCATGTCCCTGTGCTGGGCTGTTACACCAAGAGCAGGATGATTAAACTGGAATTACTGGATGGCTTTTAAAATTGTTTGTGCAATTTTAACAGCACAAGACTAGGTCTATGACTCGTGTGTGTATGACTCTTGGGAGGTTACTTCCCAGGTGAAGGTCGAGAAGAGGTGTCCGGAAACCTTCGAAAATACAGAGGGCTGAACTTTCATGGTCTCCAGGGGCTAGGCTGGAAGGAACTTCATCCTAAGACTCAGAGGCGAGAGCCAGAGTCCAGTTCAGTAGAAGGAAACACACTTCCTTAAGGTAGAGCAGGCTGCCTGTGGAAGTGCAGGCTTTCTTGTTCCTAGAGGTATGCCAGGAGAGGCCCGCGGGCAGAATAGAAACCCTGCAAAAGAATAAGAGATGGAAGAGAGGTGAGCGCCCTTTGAGGACTTTGGTAACCCTTATTTCTTTATTTTCTGAGTCTGTCAGAGCAAGGAGTGAGAGGATTACACTTCCTAGCAGACGAAGGATCTGGAACCCAGGGAGAAGAGACTTGTGCTAGGGAGGGTGCAGGAACTTTCTATAGTGAACCTCAGCCCAACCCCCTTGGTTCAATGGCATGGGGTCTTTAAGAGGGGCAAGGTTCTTGTTTTCAGGATGATCCAGCTAATGTCTCTCATCTCCAAAGTTACTTTGAGAAGCAGAAAGCAGAGTGGCAGACGGAGCCCCAGGAGCCCCCCATCCCAGAATCCCTGGCCGCTGCAGCCGCTGCCGCACAACAACTTCAAGTGGCTAGGAAACAGGACACCCGGCAGACAGCCACCTTCAGGCAGCAGCCCCCGCCTATGAAGGTGAGTGAGCTGGGTAGGGCCTGTGGAAGAAGCAAGTTATCCTTCAGCAGCCCTGCGGAAGGCTGCTTTTGAAATACAGTCATACCTCGGTACTTGACGCCTTCAGAACACATCAAACTGTGTACTCCTCGCATTTTGATGAGAACAAATGTTTTGGCACTTGGTGCTTGCCCGCCACTCACTGCACTTGTGAGAACTTATATGCCTCATGATGTCACCATGCAGGAGAAAATGCTTCATTAATCGTCACTTGCTCACCACTCATTGAAATGAATTAATGACGAGAACTGAGGTATCACTCTATTGGCTTTACGTATTTGGGGCCTTTCTAAAACAGCCTTTGGGACACAGAGGAAAGAGTGTCTGGCGCGTGTGCTGGAATGGACCTGCTGTTTTGTTGCCTCACATTCCCAGAGCAGTTAGAATGCAGGGAGATTGGCAGGCATTGCTAAAATATATTCAAAAAGTTAGGAACATAACTGGTACAAGTATATAGTAAGCATGTGTAAAGCTGCTTCCAGTAGCATTTGAGGAACAGATAATCATATAGTGAGGAAAGGAAAGGAATGCTGAAATCAGTTTGCAAAGTTAAATACAGAACTGGTTAATGTCCTACAGGGCAATAAAACTGTAATATTTGTGATTATCTTTTCTTAAAGATTTTTTATTTATTTATTTTTAGAGAAGGAAGGGAGGGAGATAGAGAGAAAGAAACATCAACATGTGGTTGCTGGGGGTCATGGCCTGCAACCCAGGCATGTACCCTGACTGGGAATCGAACCTGCGACACTTTGGTTCGCAGCCCGTGCTCAATCCACTGAGCCACACCAGCCAGGGCTATCTTTTCTTCTGAACAGAAATAATCTGCATCTCTCCTGGGCTAAAACCACTTGTAGTTTATCAGCATAAGTCACTGAGTCTGGGCTCTGTTCGACAGTACATAGTTAAAAAAGAAAAAGTAAATAGTTAAACAAAGGGTCATTCTCCTAGAGCAGAGGTTAGCAAATGAGAGCCCACAGGCCAAGTCAGAACTGCTCTTCTTTTTTGTAAATAAACTTTTATTGGTCTTCACTCATGCCTGTTGATGCATTGTCTACAGATTCTTTCACATAAAATGTCTGTAGATCCTTTCATGTAAAACGTATAGTATTGAATAGTTACAACTAAGATCATCTGACCTGAAAAGTCTAAAATGTTTACTATTTTGGCCTTTACAGAAAATGTTCACTGATACCTCTTTGAGAATTGATTCTTGAGCAGGCCTGTTAAACCATGCTCCGTTATAATGCTAAATGGATACGCGATTGTCATTTTGCCTTATGTGCAAGTTCTGGATGTTTTTCCTCAGCACCCGTGCTTGACTCTTACCCCCTTACATCCTTTACGTCCCTTATATCCAGCACTGATCTCTCTTCTTGGGTCTCATTTACTGCTTACTACTTCTTCCTGTTGGGAAAATCACAGTTGTGTCCTGGACCCCTGCGAATCAGAAGGCTGAATGAACCATAGACTCGAGGAATCTGACCACTAACTTTCTTTGTCCTGTGTACCCCACTAGGCCTGCTTGTCATGTCATCAACAAATTCACCGGAATGCGCCCATATGCCCTCTGTGCAAAGCCAAGAGTCGGTCCCGGAACCCCAAAAAGCCAAAACGGAAGCAGGACGAATGAAGAAGAGAGGGAGAACACAGAGAGCGCTACTGCTCATCAGCCCTCCCCTTGGCCAGTGAACAATGTCCTGATGTGAAACAACCCTTCCCCACCTCTACCAAGTCTCCAATTTAATGTGATGGAAGCACAACCCCTCTCTCACTATGCTCTTCTTTCTTTCTTCTCTCGGGGCTTCTGGTTTAGGAAGAGGTGTAGTTCAGGTGCTAATGACAGTATGTCTGATAATCCCTTCTCTTCCGCCCACATTTCAACCCCTGCTCTTGTTTGGAGCTAAGGCTAGGGCAGAAGGCCCAAATGTGATTCTCCGTCTCTTGTGCCTGAGGGCTGGGACCTAAGATCCGAGGGTTAGGGGAGGCCCATATCTTATTTAGTATAAAGGCTCCAGTGTGCCCTTCCTTAAGAGAGAGGTGAAGGGAGAGGGAAAAAGTGGGAGAGAAACATCACTGTGTGGTTGCCTCTCACACACCCCCGACTAGGGACCTGGCCCACACAACCCAGGCATGTGCCCTGACTGGGAATCAAACGGGTGACCTTTAGGTTCGCAGGCCTGTACTCAGTCCACTGAGCCAAGGCTCCCTCCCTGTACTTTTGCCTTAGGCTTTGAAGGGACAGCAATGACTTTCCAATAGGCCTGGTGCATTTATCTTCCCTACCCTCATCTCATCCACAAGGCCCAGAGGTAATTTGGACAAGCTCTCCTTTTTATATTCATTTTGGAGGACTGGGTGTTATTATAGAGTTCAGCATCCCACACCACCCCCAGTCTCCCAGATACACAAAAGTTCTCAGGTACCAGGCTGTGTGTCTGGGGATCCCGAGATCTGCGGGTCTTTCTTCCATAGTCCTAATGTTTGCAAATCAGTAGTAGAAATTCCCTGTAGTGAGATCAGGGAGCTGGAGCTATACCCCCTTCATTAAGTCCTGCCTAACTCGCCGCCTAAGTCATCGCACTAGGGCTCTGCTATTGGGGTTGCCTTAGGCTTGGATCGGCCCCAGGCTGACAATTGTGTTGCCATTTATTCAAAGTCACACATGAGTGGGTTGAGATCCGAGTGAGTGGCAATTACTTTACCCATGTGAGTGGGTGGGACTTCATTTATCCCTCCTTCTCTTGGGTCTCCCCACTTCTGTAAGGCGGCCTCAGCTCAGGTCAGCTGCTGGCCACCCCCTTTCCTGTGGATTGTACAGGTGGCTTTCCCTCCCCAAAGAAAAGGCACCAGGGTCACCAAGCCCTACAGCTCTCTACCCCACCAAAGCCAGATCGCTAATAAAGTCACCTCAGACTTAAGGGACAGGGATGGGGGTCGGCTGACTGAAAAAGTTTTAGCTCCAGGTCTCAGTCCGTGGCTGGGGAAGGAGGGAGATTTTTCCTTCCTTCCTTAACTGCAGTTTTAAGTTTCCACAGTGTCTGTGTTCAAAATATAAGAGATTCCTCTGCTCTTGGAAAGTAAGAGTGTTATGTCTGTACAAATCCTTTTAAATAAACATTTGTTCATTGGAGTAAACGCTGACTGAGTGCTTATAAGTACTAGGTAATAAAAAAGAGGCAATGCCCTTTTCGCTTCTGAGTAGCTCTTCTTCACTCGTATTCACTCCACCCTACACATGAGGAAGCTGGGCACAGTCATTGATCTCGCCATTATAATAATTTCTATTTAGCCAGCACTTACTCTGTGTCAGGTCTCTATGCAAGATGCTGTATATAAATTATTGCATTTGATATTCAAAACAACCCTTCAAGCTAAGTACTTGCATTGCCATTTTCCAAAAGAGGGTTACCTGAAGTTCAGAGAAGTGAACTAACTTGTCCATAGTGCACAAACAGCTAGTGAGAGAAGTTTCAGGATTTAAACTCAGATATGTCTGGTTTCAGAGACCATTTTCTTTCTACTTGTTCTCCATAGTCAGTGTTTCTCCCCTTTGGGATGGCATGATGTTAGCAGTTGTTGAGATAACTCTGAACTAGAAATCAGGGGCTAGGAACCTAGTGATTGATGCAGGAATATAAAGGCCTGACCTCTGTATAGAGATACAATAGGGAATAACTCTGACGGACCACTGGCTGCAGTGGTTCCCTAAATGGAAGACTGAAGTTTCCAGTAAGGCTGCATTGCAGTTCTATAGCTCCCTCTGTCCAGTCCTGTCTCGTTCTCTTCTCTTCTACAAGCACTTATTCCAAGAACTCTCTAATTGATGTCCTCAGCATTAAGCTGTCCTAGCGCTTCCCAGAAATGCCAGAGCTGACCTTCTCTGTGCCTTATCTGGAAAATGGACAAAACCTTCTCTGTGCCTCATCTGGAAAATGGGGAAAAGAGTGTACAAGGGGGGACCCCAAAACATGGAATTTATTTAGTTAAAAAATTGTTTATTCTTACGTGTTTAAACATAAGTCTTCTTCAAAGTACTCGCCATTTGATGCAATACACCTATTGAGACATTTTTTTCCACTGCGCAAAACAGTTTTGGAGCTGGCAGATTGTGATACCTTTTAGTACTTCTGCCATTTTTTGTTTCACTTCTTGTGCATCAACAAAATGTTTCCCTTTGAGGACTTTTTTGATCCAGGAAAACAAAAAATGTCACTCAGGGTGAGATAGGGTAAATGGTGAGGTTGGGGCATAGGGGTCATGCCATTTTTAGTCAAAAACTGCTCAATACTCAGCATGTTGTGAGCAGGTGCACTCGTAAATCACTCCTGAAGTGGGCAAATGCGTTGAAAGAGTCTTCAAAAAAAATTCACTGAAGCCAAATGCAGCCTCTCACAACAAGGCCAGCTGGTACACTGATGCGGATGGGTTCCTAGAACACTCACCTAGCAGGGGAAACCTGAACTACAAGGAACCTGCCCTCCAGAAGGTAATTCTGGGGGCTTTTTCTTGGGTCCCCCTCATAGTTCCTACTTCTGGAGCTATTGTGAGCAATGTCAGGCACATAAGTATGAGTTTTCTTCTTCCCCTTGTGTCCCTACCACCAAGCAGATTGGATACTCAGTCAAACAAAATATTCATGTTACTTGATATTACTGTATCAACCCAGATTTTGTTCAGCTGTGAGCCTACTTTAGGGGTGGCTCAGGCTCACTCTGGGCAAAGGAAGGACATTGAGCTGTGTGACTGGGAGTGCACCTTAACCTGTATAGGACCCAGTAGGTCCCTGTGCAGTCGTGTCCAACCTGTGGCCTGTGGGCTTCATGTGACTCATGGTGGCTGTGAATGTGGCCCAACATAAAATCATAAATTTACTTAAAATATTGTGAGATTTTTTTGTGTGATTACGTGTCACAATGCATTTCATGTGTGGCCCAAGACAAATCTTTGTCCAGTGTGGCCCACAGACACTAAAAAGTTGGAGAGCCTTGTGAGAGCCTTAGTACAGTAGCCTTAAACGACACAGTAGACCAGACAGATTTAATTGATATTTTTAAAGCATTTCACCCCAAGGTAGCAGAATATACATTCTTTTCAAGAGCATATGGAAATTTTTCTAGGGAAGACCACATGTCAGGGCACAAAACAGTGCTCAATAAATGTAAAAGATTACAATCATATCAAGCAATCTCTCTGACCACAATGATATGAAACTAGAAATCAATTACCAAAAAAGCCCCCTAGAAAACACACAAATACGTGGAAACTGAATAATATGTTACTAAACAATGAATGAGTTAACAATGAGATCAAGGAAAAAATTGAAAGATACTTTGACACAAATGAAAATGTAAACACAACCCAAAATCTACATGACACAGAAACAGCAATTCTAAGATGGAAATTTGTAGTAATGCGAGCCTAGGTCAAGAAGTAAGGAAAATCTCAAATAAACAATCTAACCTTGCACCTAAATGAACTGGCAAAAGAACAACAAACAAAGCCTAAAGGGAATAGAACCAAGGAAACAAAGATCAAAGCAGAAATAAACAACATAGAGAGGAAAAAAAATACAAAAGATGAATAAACCCGGAGATGGTTTTTTGAAAAGATAAATAAGATTGATAAACATTTAACCAGATATACCAAGAAAACAGAGAGAGGACCCACATAAATAAAATCAAAAACAGAAGAGGGGAAGAGACAACTGACACCACAAAAATACACAAGATTATAAAAATATACTATGGACAATTATATGTCATCAAATCAAACAAGCTGGAAGAAATGGGTAAATCCTTAGAAACATGCATTTATGACTCCACATCCCCTTTCTGTTCCCCACCCCTCTACAATGTTTACCAGGCTCTCTCCTCTTTCTTTTAGTTCCTCCTACTCAGCTACTCCTGGACCTCACAGAGGCCTCTGGCCTGGGATACGCTCCTGGCCCATGTACCCCAATCCTGCCTTCCTACTCCAGCCTAAACATCCTGGCCCATTGCTTCCACACTTCACTAGCCAATACCTTCAGCTCTTCTTGTCCCTGTCCTCCTTTCATACTGTCTGATGGGATAAATGCTGCTGTTTTCCTGGGCAAACAAATGCTGCTAGGAACACATCCCAACCCTGTGTAGTCTGGCTCTGCTTAGCCTTCGTGGTCCCCAACTTCATCTGGTCCTTTAGCACTATGCAGTTAGCCCCTGGTCACCTTCCTTTCCTGTTTCCTTAGTGAGGAAGAGTGGGGGATAGCACCTGGAGGCCACATTGGTGCTCAGGATTGCATGTGTTAAATAAAGCAGCATAGGTAGGAAGGAATGATTACACTTAGGCTGATCAGAGTTTGAATTTTGTGTCTTCCACTTATTAATTATGTGACCTTGGAGTCAATAATCTCTCTTAAGCCTCATTTTCCTCTCTGTCAAGTGTGGAAAATGGTGTTGGGAAGCATGCATCTAAGGGTTTAGAAGAATACCTGGCAGATAGTAGGTGCTCAATAAATGATAGCTGTTATTCCCTGGTGCCCTGGGTAGTACTCTGGGTGGCATACATCTTCATTCCAAGTCTGATTGCTTAGTTGGAAGAAGCTGTTGACCAAGCTGCTACCCTTACGAACACTGTGGTAGGTTTGAGCCTGAAGCTAGGCACATAAGGGTCTTAGAAAAGACATGGGGGACCCCAAGGCTAGAGTCAGCCACTTTACTTTTCTGAACCTCAGTTTACTCACATGCAAATTGGGGATAATAGTTCTTGCTTAGCACACCTGTCAGGGTTTTGGGACTGAGCAAATGGTATCATGGATGATAAAGTGGTTTTGTAAATTATAACAAACAAACTCTCCTCATGCTTGTTGTTTGTGCGTGTGCTCTCTATGTTCTTGCACCTTGACTCAGAATATGGCAGGAGGAAGTGGTGACTGCCTTAGGGTGTCACTCTCAGCAACAGCTTCCCCAGACAAACAAAGCAAAAAAAAAAAATTAGCCACAGTCCCGATAACCTGACTCTTCTTTTTCCTATTCTGGAAGCAGTGTAGAGTGAAAAACTTGAAAACTATTTCCAATAACGTGGCTAGCCCTGTGAGCAAAATGTTGAGTCACCTAAGAAGCTGATTAGATGAGCTCTACCTCAAGGGCTAGAGTAGATGACCTTTTGAGGATGTCCCTGGCCCCGGGATCTGGTGTTGTAATAAACCTCAAATCAGAAATATAGTTTCATATGTACTGCTAACTTCCTGTGAGATCTTGTGTGAATCCCAGCTTCTCTCTAGGCTTCGATATTTCTACCTTCAGAATCATGGGAGTCATACAAGATCCGTGGTTTCCAATGGCTGGCCCAGTGGACTGAAGACCCTAGAATCACCTGGGAAACAAACAAACAAAAAAACACTCAGCACCTCTGAAGTACCCATGTTGATAAGTTGGGGCTGAATCAGATCAAGTCTCTAGACGTTGTTATTAGATTACAGGAATGCAACGGCAGAGGAACATGTTAAATGACCCTACCGGGGCACAATTAGTAAAATTCCCAATGTAGGAGATTCTGTAGGACGAATGGAGTTTTACTAAGAAATAAATGGAAAGAAAAATAAGGGTAGGAGAATGGCTTACTTTTCAACTGGCTGCTTTAACACATTTCCACAAAAACAACCCAAACTTACCTGGAAGTTCTACAAGTCAAGGTCCAGTGTAGTCATCACTGAAGTGTTGTCACAGCTACTTTTCTGCCTCGAAGCTCTATTTCCCGGTCATTTTGAACTCCTAGAGGCTTCCCGCATATCTTGACTCATGGCTGCCTCCCTCCATCTTGAAAGCTAGCACGTCTCTGCTATTCCTCTATACCCACATCTCTCTCTGATCCTCCTCTTTCCGGCATTCTCTCCCACCTTTCAGGACATTTGTGATTGTACTGGGTCTGCCCACATAATGCAGAATAATCTCTTTATTTTAAAATCAGCTAATTAGCACTCTTAATGCTATCTGCAACCTCAATTTTTCCTTTTTTCATGTAACCTAACATATTCATAGTTTTCAGAGATTGGAATGTGGACAACCTTAGGGGGTCATTATTCTCCCAATTACTGAGAATTTATAGGTTAAAAGAGAATTAAGATATAAATCAACCAAACGCAGTCTCTGGATATA